ATGAAAATGTGCACTGCAGCATACATACAATCAATCAAGAACCCCGTCGGAATGTTTCCAGTTCTCGTTCCCACGATCAGATCCGGCCTCTGGGCGCAAAACGACGCCAAAAATTCCCGGAACGCGATCCCCGGGCTCGAAAAATTAACATCCCCGGGTTAAATAAAGCTCAGCTCCATATATATACGAAAATCGTCCGCGGCTCCTCACGAACACCCCGAAGGGATCCGTATACTCTACTATAGAGAAGCAACGCGCGGAAAACAATGATAAATAGAGGAGATGAGGGAGAAAACAAAGAGAACAGGAGCAAAAATCATAGTATAGAAGAACGAAGAAGAGAAGCTTCAAATTTATAAATAAACAAAAGGAAGAAACACGTGGTCAGACGAGGGCGTGAGAAATCCCGGGGTCAGGTTCGTAGCCAACGGCGGCAGTCGCGCTACCCAAAAATCACGTCCATCTCGGCCACCAATTTTCGCATTCCTCCCCTCTCCACATCTTTTTTATTTTTATTTTTTTTACCCACGCATTACCAACGTACACTTCACTTGGACCCACTTCGGAAATTACCAGAGAAGAAAAACAAAAACACAGCCATGATTTCCCCACATCAACAATATTCGTTCTTGAACCATCACACGCGGTTGTCAGCCTCCCGATGCATCGACATGCTGTTGCTGACAACCCACAAATCATAGACCCGAGAAAGATTAATGTCAGACCATGAGGCAACTTGTTTCATTCCGGAAAAGAAGATGCCTTGACAGAAAAGATCACTAAAGGTACTCTTCTTTAGTACTTTTGCTACAGCAGGACTCCGAGGCATGGAATTTTCAAACGATCTCACACCCAGAAAACATTTTAATCGATCTCGAAAATCTGGCTGTACGCATAATTTTTCTTCTGCAGGTTCCCTGCATAACTTTTCAGAAAAACATTTCTCATCCCTTTTCTGAGTTACTATGTACAGTATATTGTTATTGTTTATTAATTTAATGCTGATCAAATTCATTCTACGGAATATTTAAGAAAAAATTTCGAAATAATGAACGCCCGATATAAACGATTTTTGTGCGTTTTTCTCTGTATCCGAACGTCTACGGTCGTATTTCATGATACTTCACGCCATAAAAGAAAAGAAGAAAATTTATTGAATAAAGTCCAAAGGATCATTTTAAACTAATTCGGAAGAATAACAGAGACATTAAATGTAACTTCACATCACTCAGTTTGCGGCATATTTTGTGGAACTAATGGTCAATTTTACACAGCTGTGCATTCCTCGGTTAATGGACTTTTGAATGAAAGACATCCCATCAGGAACGGCTGAGGTCTATTGACCGAGACACTAGTACAGTATTTTACACAGTCACTAACTACAGAGTTTCTACCAGTTTCCTTCACATGATGAAAGTTTTTCTTCGTTTGTCGTTGAAATTTAGCTGATTACAGTGTTTTAATCTCATTCAAAATGGATAATTTACCGTTTTAAATTTCTGAAGCGTTGAAATAACCTAAAAATTAGAACAGGATTATTCAATGAGGAATTCAGCGTGATGCGGAAACATGGACGTCACTACTGCTGTAAAAAAGCATCCATGTGATAAAAAAAAGGGGGACAAATCTGTCAAGATGACACGGAAGAAATGTATCATTTTAAAATTAAATGCTGCAGTAACTTCTAAAAGCACTGGAAATTTAAAGGAAGACTAATCGCAGAATTTATTGAACGTTCCGTACGCGACGTTCCTTCTTGACACACTACTTTGTTTGTGAGCTTTTTTAATAAGTTTAAAATAATAATAAATGTCGTTAGAGGATATTTTTTCGGGGACGGTACGCTTTCAACAAAGATCCAATGAAGGTCGATTTATTGTGCGAAAATCTATAGCGTTCTTCCGCTTACAGCAAAATTTTTAGCGATAATGCTTCCAGGGAAATTGAAAATTTTGATCAAGGCTCCTCATCCAAAAATTGTATTCAAACTGAATGCTAATAGATTAACAATGAAGAAAATGTTCTCAAGCAACGGGGAAACTTTGCCAAGGACAACGAGCAAATAAACTGAATAGCATAAGAAATAGAAGGTTTCCACGGAACATATCGCATATACGTCGATCAGAACCACACAAAAAGGGTCCTCGAAAATTCAAAGCCTTCCCGGAAAAGAGAGGAAAAGTTTTCAATTTTGCTCAGATTACCCGGAAATTTTCCTACTTTCGGAGAAAAAGCGAATCCGAAAGGATCACTATAGTGAATTACGGTAAACCAAAAGCACGGAGAATTTTCTACCGACTGGCAGTTCAAAAGAAATGGATATCAACAATAAGGGGCATTTAAAATCGTTTCACGATTGGTAGCAATCAGCAATTCAACGAACAATGCACAAGAGGTCCCGGAAGCTTCCCAACAAAAGGGAAGAGACCGTGGATTCATAACCAAGTATAAATTATTTTTTTATAAAAAAAATCTGCCTTTCAGAAATATAATAAAAGGTTATTGACGAAGCATTTGATCATTGTTCCTTCGTGTTTCACTTCGTCAATATGCAGAGAACCAGAAAAACCTGCGATACAACCTTAATTTTTAAAAAAATCTCCAGATTCCGCGCAAGGGCATGCAAATGAATTCGACGATGAATAAATTGTAGATAAATCTTCCCAAAATAAAGAAATTACGCCTCGCATCATATTGAAAATAAAAGACGGGCTGTCATCATCCTGGAATTCGGGGAGTGTTTCCTACTTCCGATAAAAACAGGAAATCGAAAAAACCTAGCCCTTGAAAAACTGCATGAAGTGGTTGCCAAACTATTTCTCGAATGATTCGAAGCATTCTTCGATATTTTTCATGTTGCACCTTTTTTCTTTCTCTAGCACGCTAGTTTTTTGTTTTTGCTTTGTCTTTGCATGATATTTCGCGTCCAAAATGTATTCATTTACTTGCCCATTCATTCAAAAACTCACGAGGAACATTTTCAGAAGACCTGAAGTAGATCAAACACTTCACACAAACCTCAATTAATCAGCTATAAAAATGACTTCATAAGTTGTCATTACCCGTTGAAATAATTTTTGACATTGGACATTATATCGGACGACAAATAAAAATGTATCCTTCATTTCCTCACTTACATCGCTAAACGTCCAGATCGAATGTGTGTTATTTATTGAATTAAAATCTATAGATTTTAATCCGGGTAAGATCGCTGTAGGGTCAGAGAAAAGTAACTTCTCCTGAACTGAGTAGAAGACAACAAAAAGTATATGAAAGGACATTAAAACGAGTGCCCACCAGCATAACGAAAACATTCGATTTTTGGCAATCCCCATACCGAGGAACAAAGCCTCCAGAAAAAAAAAAAATTGGAAAGGTCACACGACGCCTCTTCCAATAAGCGGGGGGTGCGGAAACCGGGATGAAATACCCACAATACACAATACAAAAGGGGGACGAAAAATAAAAATAAAAAATGACCTAAAATGAATAGACATAATAACAAATAATATCAACTCACGTATTCATCGCGAAACTCCTCCGCAAAGTTGAGAGCAGTGGAGGCGGAGATGCGGATGGGACGCACAACTTGCACGTCCGCCGCCGCCTCGGCGGGGCCCAACAGGTCCGGGTCGGACACGGCCCGGCAGGGATTGATCCAACGGGCCACGCGCTCGTCGCCGACGCCACTGCCGCCCAATCCCGCCGAGCCCCCCGTTGCTAGCTCCTCCTCTTCTCCGCTGCCGGCATCGGCTCCATTGTTGTTGGTGTTTCGCAACGGCAACGGCGCCGCCATCGCGACTCGACTCGGCCACAGATGCCCGCACACCACAACCAGCACCAAGAAGATCCCTCGCACCCGAGCTGCGGAAACAAAATTGCAATGAAGAACACATATTTGTAAGCACAGTAATGTAATGCCTATTTGAAAAAAAAATGAAATCACAGAAATAAACAGGGCGGAGTCAAGGTCCTCGTCTCCGTCCGAGTTCCTCACCCTAGAAAATTGAGCTAAGCTAAAATATTGCATTACATTGTCTTTCACTGGCTTCATTTTCACATCAAATATGCCTTGCATGTAAAAGATCAAACGGAAAACTTCTCTTTGCTCAAATAAGAAAGAATGATTTAATCTTGGTAGAAATATTTCTAGAAACTTTGAAAATAAAAGCCAGACCCTGGTAGGAATGATGATTTATATGAATCAATACTTTTTTTTTCGTAAAAAAAATAATTGCTTAAAAGCTGTTAGTATACGACAGTGCCAATTCTGAACTGAAGCACACGAGAGGCTTTCAAACATTTTCTCTCCACTGCGAAACGTCAGGAGCAAAAATTTATAGTGCAGAATTCATATGATATTCTGCGCTTAAATCGAGACCTCATCCGAGAAATTCAGCGACTCACGGTACCATAACATTAAAAAAAAAAAGATTTATCAACACCCGTACAAGGAAAACCCCTTGAGGAATCGTCCACGAAAAAGAAAACACTCGAATAATACAGTGCCGTGCTAAAATTTATGAGGAATACACCAATTTAAAATTTGGATCGAAAGCTTGAAAATTGAAATGATGGCATATGCCTGATATAGTATCCGAAGAAATTTCGACCCTAGCGATACTTGAGCAGAGATGCAATTCAAATGATTTGATCACTGGTTCTATTCATCATTCAAATTAATGGATTTTTGCGCATCAAAAAACTAGAAGACCCTGTTCTGGTTATATATAAAAAAAACTTTGCTCTCTTTAGATGAGGTCTTTTCCTCGCTTTTTTCTCGTCTTTTGAAATATTCATGCCGGAATGCTGCTTCCCAGCTTTCAAAACTTCACGGCATCGGGCAGTTAACAAGAAATTCCGTATCCATATCTTTCCAAACGCGAGACTATATTATTTTTTAACTTCAGGACAAATTACCTTCAGTAAATTACAACAAATACAAATTACCTTCAGGAATCCTCCAACTCGAAAAACTTATAAAGCATTTCACGAGCAAGAAACAAACAAGATCCAGAACGAAACCGGCGAAACCCAAAACGTGGCGCCGAAAGCGACGAAGTTTCGAACGGCATGACGAACCACTCTCACTGATGGGGTCGCAAACCCGATGAAGGTTCCAAGAAGCCAGGCTATCGGCGAAACTATTGCCAACTTATTTATCTTTTTTCGTCAGGGAGCATTAGAAAGTCAGATTAAAGTGCGAAACGAAAAAAAAAGAAGTAAAAACTTGCGAAGATTTATTTGCATCCACCGGAAATTCCGCGCATCAGAAAAAAAATTACGATATACCTGGGATTAATCTACGGTTAAAGACGGCGGTGAAACTGATTGACTTGGTGATACAGTAATTTCCTACGTCTGTAATTATCCGCGATGTGATGTGACAAGCGGGAAAAAAATACGAGTCATTTTACTTCCTTCAATTTAAAATGACGAGTCCTGCTTTTCCCGCATTGAAAAAGCTTGACTTCAATTTAATCCATCAAGTGTTTTAGAGGATATCTTCAATTTAATCTTCGCTTCACCCTGAGAAAAATGAATGAGTACGTCAAAAATTCAGCGCATCAAGACGAAACAGTCGGGGAGTTTTTTGCGAGCTGAAAAACTACTTATCTTATCGCAAAATGGTATACCTTGCTTTTTTAATTCAATGGACGGAATTACTAAAAAAAATTCAATGTTTCACGGCTTTTGACCGTTATGAGTCGGATGAATCATCATGGCGAGGTAGGACAAGTTCAAACAAGAAATAATCTTTTAAATATTTTCCACTCGCTGTGGCTGAACTGAAACTTCATTTTGTCAAGGACTAAAGGAAAGAGATTGATAACAAAGACAGTAATGACTTTTGTTATTGAAACATATTTTATTCATTTATATTTACGAATGTCAAGCAAAGCAAAACGAGACACCCTTCCCAACGTCTGAATGATGGAAGTAAGTCGCCAAGAAAATAATAACTAAAATTCGAAGGATTACAATTTCCATAATTCATGGGTGGATTACAAACATGGATAGTTGGGCTCTTCTTGAGGAAGATCTTGAGGAATTAAACTGAAAAAGTGACGAACCCGTTTCTCGAATGAAAATTGTCACACAAAAAACGTAGTCCAAAAAAAGAGATGAAAAAATGCGCAGCAAGCATGTCCGGATAATGCTCGCTAATTTGAATGCCTTTCCATGTACAGTAGGGTACAAATTTGCTGAACGGACGAATCCTTGAAAACTTTTGAAAAACTTTCTGAACTTTTGGAAAAGAATTTTCTCTGCGTTCTGCTACTAATCGATACTACAGTATAAAAACAGGAATTACCGCACCTGGCATACAGTAATTGGCATATTGCGAAATCAATTTCTTCCATTATGAAACCCCCCCCCCCCCNCCCCCCCCCCCCCCCCCCCCCCGAGTCATTTCCCCTTGAGTAGCCCAAGAAACGCGGGTATTTTTTTTCACGAAACGTAAAACGCGGAAACCACGCGATCCGGTTTTCCCTGGAAAACAGGCCAAATTTCCGCGAATTCCGACTTGTTCCGACGTCCCTCTCCCCACTTTTCCCAGACGAGTCGATATACACACAAAAACAAGGCCTGGCCTGGCACCAGGGCATCGACACCGACCCCGCTGCTTTCATTGCCAAGGACCCCCTTACATGGCGAAAAGGCGAGAGGGAGAGAGACAGGCATGGGTTGAGGGTCACGGCGTGGCGAAACAAGGTCAGGGAAAAACTAGGGTCATAGCGTAAACAATACGTAGCAAAAGGCGAGCGTGTCCATTTCGCGGAACCGGTGTTTCGCCACGCGAATCGGTTCATCTCGGACGCATCTCGCGATTGGTTTCATAATTATTCAATTAAAAAAAAATAATAATAATCAGGAAAAATGGAGAGACTGAAGTTCTGAATGCCAGCAGCGAAAATTTGCGCGCGAAATAGTGCTTCAAGTAAAACATCATCGTGCTGCCAATCAGAATGTGCTGATTTCTTGAAAGAATTTACGAAAGAAAAAAACTTTGCTTTGAATTTGATAAAGATTTACAATATTGATAAAAATTGCATCTATAAATCGGATGCTTGGACAATAAACCCTGTTAGCGAAAAACTAGCAAACAGAAGTCACCCAACAATGAAGTATTCTTTTTAATCAATTTCATACGACAGAAAAGAAACCTTAAGTTGGGAACCCTTTCTTTTATACCTAGGTGTGAAAGAATTTCCTGAGACCCGTGGATGGGACAATTCGAAAGATTGATGATTGCTGGACGGTGTGTCAGAAAAAAAAATGCTAGTATGACTCATGTTCATATTGGACAACAACAACAACGAAACTTTGATTCCATCAGTCCCAGGTTGGGCTTGAATATTGTCGTCGACTCCATGAACATGAACTTGAACTTTTTTTTTTTCAAGAGGACATCCTTATTTCTTAGAGAGGAAAATTATATTTCTAACTCCATGAAAGGTCACGTTTTGAAGTTTACAGTGACCAGTTAGAAATCAGGTAAATTTTCGCAATGGGTGCTTTCAAGTAAGCCGAAAAGGGGTCAAATTGTGATGACACTTCCGAAAACTTCGGCAAAAAATAAACGGAGAGATCTGAATCACGTGAGACATTATTTCCTTCAGAATTTTGAAAAATCAACATCAATTTTAGAAACCATTACGCGAATGAAAAAATGATAAAATTGCGATAATAAAAGAGCTCTCGAATCATCTCCGACTCCGGACATCCTCAAACTTTTGAATACTGTATTCAGATGAAACAATTTCAAATAACCAGTTTTCCTTCCCTTAGATTTACTTATTATGTATTACACGAGCTAATTTATAAATTTAAATCAAAGTTCATCGCGTATTTGATCATACGTGAATCTTTTTTTTTGTCTGGACATTTTTATTATCCAAGCCATATTATTTTAGTTTTATTGTGTATCTCTGATGGCCAAGTGTCAACGTTTATTTTTCCAAAACAACGTCTATCCGGAATTTGATCATAAAGCAACATCATCAGGACGTCTCGTTTCTAGACGTTATCATCATATTTAATATTTGACACGTCATCTAGTTCTAGACGAACACGTAATCGGATTATTGAACACGTCATTGGATAAAGGTTTCCAAACATCTTATGTTTTCCTTTTTCTGAACAAGAAGTGATATTGTGTCCTGGAGAATTTTTTTTCCCTCTCGGAAACCGAGAAAAACCTTACGCGAACCCGAAAAGCACGTGCATACAGAAGATGCATTCGGGTATATACGCATCCGTACGTAGAGTATTTACACGCGGACGTAACCCGGATCCGGATGTGGTTTTTCCCCTCCCACAGGCCCGTGAGTCTCAATTGTTGATTTTTTTTTCCTCCCTTCTTTCCGAGTCAATCTGTCCCTTGGTGTCAGTCTCAAGTAACGTTTTCGTTCTTCCGATTTCCATTCAGAAAGACACGAGGGGCTGTCGTTGAGGTGGGGACATATTGTATTTCCGAGGCACAATCATCAGAGGTTAAATTCGAAGAAATGAAAGAGAGAAACACTGAATAAATTATATGCGTTAACGCGCCGAAAAATTATTTTCTGAAACGGTGATCAATCCGAGGAACGAACGTCCTCGTTAAAAAAAATATTCATAATTTTTCCCGACACACGGACCAACTGAAAAAATGCAGGAGTTTTACAAGAAAACGTTTACTTCGGCGAAAATATAAAAAAGTGACTCTCACATCCAAATCTGCATTTCCAATTGAAACAAATTCACGATTAAAGTACTTTCGTAAATTGCCAAAAACGTGTTCTACGAATATTCGCAATCAGAAGCAAGCATTCCTGAATCTTACAGTATTCGGTTGGCATATATCATACAATTAAGAGTAAATCGATGAGTAAAATATATAACTCTTGAATTATTTAAGCTCAGAATTAATCACGGCAAAATCTTTCTCTTCAAGTTAAAAAATAAAGGAATTTTTCAGCACTTCCGAAATGTTCCTGATTTCTAATTTTTTAAATCTAAAGGTTTGGGGGATTTTCCCAAGTTACAAGCACGACGAATTCTTACTTGATTTTTTTACTCTGATCTAGTTTTCTAGAATTACTTGTGAGCAGTGTAAAAACATTCCTGAGTTTTAAGAGTATTTCCTGCATTTATTTATTTTTGAATAGTTCCCGTCGCATTCGTTTCACATCACTCCAATTCAAGGATTATTATTTTTCAATTAAAAAATTTCGCACCATTTCAAGTGAAAGATGGCCGGTTTTTTACTGGACTAAATTTCATTTGCGGATCCCAGAATATCTCTCAATTCATATTCCGACAATAAAATGAGAATGATTTTATTTTTTACGCTCAACCTGTTAATGCATTCGGGATTGAATGACTTTCGGATCGCAAACGAGAAAACCGCAGACAACAAATTTCAAGATGCACTGTTCTTTACAACACACCGCAGACGGCGGAACGAGACATGGAAAGTTTCTTGGAAAAAGAACCCCACTCGTCAGATCCCCGTTTCTCAACTCACTGAGTATCGGATTACTGTACCCCAATCGTAAAAATATCCC